GGGTTTTCTGCATATTTTTCATTAGCGCTTTTCATTATAAATGCGCCGCGTTCTTGAACGTAAATAAAGATGAGTGACATTTTATACTGAGGATGGTCACTTACAAATAAATAGTCCGAGCACTGGGCTAGCTTTGCATTGAAAAATTCCCTAGTTTCCGTAAGAGCCTCTCATAAGGCGTTTTTTGAGGGTATCTTAGCATGCGCCACGTCGGACAAAGCTGTACGACATGATACATATGGCGCAAGTGTAACAGTGGGTTAGCCCGTATCCGCCCACCATCCTTATTTTCCTCCTTATTTGCCCTTTCTTGCTCATCCATTCACAAATTTTGGTGAATATCAGGACACTGCCAAGCAGTTCATCCGGCAAATATATCACATGTCTAGTGAGGTCTTGGTCTCGGCATTGTCTTGTAGGGTTTGTGAGCCAAAGCACGGTAGGTAGTCCTTTACGTGGTTAGAAGTGAAATTCAAATTGCGAAACGAAAAAGAGGGGAGCGGGTATTATACACAATTAGCAGTAAGCATACTGTGCGCGATAACAAATATTAGGTGAAGTACCTGAATCCATAGCAGGAGAATCAAGTTGAGGTGTAAATGGAGAACTGAAGTCGTGTCGAAATGTGTGTACAATGTAGATGTCGTGTTAAATGGGGGGACACGTTGGAGTACTGAGTCAAGCGTTGGGTCGAAGTTGACGGAGACTGACCCTCGAGCCCGAGATGAAGACCGAATCCCAAATGATGGAGGAGTGAGGGGGGAGGGGGCTTCGTATAGTTGAGACGGGGGCTTAATCCAGAGCGTTATCTCGTCAGATCTATCAATGAACAGATGTTTTCCCAGTCCTCGGAAGTGTTTGTATTTCTTAAACAAGAAAAAGGAAAAGCCCGAGGTTAGCTATTAGTTGATCAACAGCTAGTGAATCTGATGTCTTTCCTACTGCACGCCCTGAAAACTGTCTGGTGACTGGATGTCGTTCTGTCTAGTGAATTAATAGAATCACTTCCATTCCACAAAAGTTTTATTAACTCTTTTTTGCTCAAATGACAGACATATGCGTCGCTGATACAGCAAGTTCACGCTAATCTATCCACTCTGCGATACATTGAACAACTATTGAGCGGAAGAAACGTTGAAGAACGCACCACTTTTGAGCCAAACGGTGGCATATACGTCAATTTGGAGCAATATCCTCGTTATGCCAATCATGAGGTACAATTAACACCGCATTCGTCGTCCTTGCTTGGAAACAGTGAAGCTCCGAAAAGTTTGAAGGATCAAACAGTGGAAGTGAGGTACGTGTAATGATCATGATTTTTTAAAACCTAAATCCAAAGCTGTCAAAATCCTTGTTTCACTTTAACCGTTATGACTGATTTTCCAAACATAAGTTCTTCCACAAAAAATCTGACTCATACGATATGGGGCGGTGATCAACTAAGCAATGCTCAGAGCACCAACTCCTTTTTATGCCTTTTTATGCGTTTTTGCACATATGTAAATTGCAAAAATTATGCGTTTTTGCATATATGTAAATAGCAAAAACGCATATTGGGAAGAGGCTGTCTGTGTGTGTG